CAGCTTTATTCAGCTTGTTTGCTGATGTTGAGAATAAAACTGCTTGGGGCAACCCTTTTTTATGTTAGAAGGAAAGAAGGACGTCAGTTAGCTGATATTTTACGACTTCTAATGAGGTTACCAGTGAAACTCGCCGACCAACAGCCCAAAATCCGAGCATCTCCGACTATAAACGATCTGTGGTTGGAGGTCAGGGCTCCGGTGAGAGGTCATGCAAATGGAATTCATGCCTTCCGCCTGTAGGTCAAGGGTCGGGCATGTCTGGAGGGGGTTTCCTTTTTCCTACCAGGAGTGAAAATGTTTCATAGACGTCGCATAGCGTCTCTCTACCCCTCAACCTCATGTGCTCTTCGCATAGTCAGGGCGCTTTTGTGTACATTGAGAGGGTGGGTTGATCCTCTCCGTCCTGTTCTACAGAGGCTTCTCTCCAATGGAAAGCTTTTTCAAAAAACCATGACTACGACAGGATTCTCATCTGTCCGAAGGAGATACACTCCTCTCCTTCTCTTACCTGCCTCATCCCACTTTCTGTACACGTTGTACCTTCTATGACTTCGTCAGAAACATCTGTGTGGTCATGCCTTCTAAAATCTTGCGCGGACTTAAAATATAAAAAAAATAAATAAATAAATAAAAATATATAATGTTGAGTCCTATGTTTAATAAAGAACGGCTTTTTAAGCCTCGCCCCTTCTCTGCAGGCTAACCTCCCATAGCTTAGACAATCTGTCAAGTTTCGGTTCGGGAGCGGGGTTCCTTCCCCCATGCCTAGATCGGTCTGGGTGGAACTGGCACCATTGCGACCATGGGAACGTATTCCCGATGGAGCTCTACTCCCCCCTATGCAGGCGGGTTTTAATATGTATTCTATTATTATTATTATCATTCAAGTACGAAGTGGACTCATCTGCGTACATCAGCCAATGCAATGGGTTGCTCGGCAAAACGGGAGGCTTCTTATTTAAGGAATTTTTAATTGTAGTGGGATGCATTCCCCCATTGCCTAGATTGGTTTGGGTGGGACAGGCACCGTTGGTATTTCCTTTTCATTATCTATATATATACGATAATTTTTTTTTTTTGCTATCCTAGTTCCTTACTGTCTAGTACCTAAAGTCAACATTACGCCCCCCCCCCCACCTTTTTCCCTGTTCATGAAAGCATCTAATTTCTTCTTAAAGATAGTCACAGCGTGGGGCAGCCACTACTTCGTCATCTAACGCATTCCACGCGTTCATTACGTCTCGTGACGCTCAGGCAGGAGTGAGAGGCGGTGTGCGCTATTCCAAGCCAATTGGATGAGGGAGGTATGAATAAGGAGTTATTGATACATGATGATGATGATGACTGTCCAAAAACCACCCCCATCGCCTTGTTACATGACATTCAAAGGCTGTCTTTTTAGGTCAACGGAGGTGTGCATTGCAGAGGGGACGGCGTTTCCGGACACCAGGAAAGCTATGAGGAGCTAAAGCTAAAGGAGTTAAAAAAGCTCCCACCGAGAAGGGAGCTTTTTTAGGATTATGGATAGGGGGGAAATTACGGGCATGGGACAATCACTACGTGTGGCTCCATGCCTCGACATCAGGATATCATGGAAAGGGTACGATAATAATCGGCTGAAGTGTTTCTACACGGATGCGCCTAGCTTGAGCTACAAAATGGATGATCTGCGAGGGAGAGGGCTAGGAATCGGTTACGATGGCATCGGAATCTCTGAGACTTGGGGTGCTCGGACACCATGGATAAGGGATTCCAAATACAGGGATTCGACGCTTAGAGTAAGGATAGGCTCGGAGGGAATGGCAGTGGAGTCAAGTTATTTATGTGAAAGGAATTAGGATAGGTGTCTGCGTTAGAGAGAATCTTACTATGGGTAATTGTGGAGCAAACAAAAAATTGTGGTGCGAGATCGGTGGGGCGACTAGGAGGATCCTGTTAGGGATCTGCTATAAGCCGCTAAGCACGCCCCGAGAGGATGATGTTGTATTTAACGCGTTGTCGAGTGGCATTGGCGAAGAGTCAAAGAAGGTTTTGCTCTTTGGTGATTTCAATATACCCAGCATAAATTGATTAGTGTCACAAGGGGGGGGGAGTGATAAGGAGCTTCTAGATGCGATCCAGGATGCTCTCTTTGTGCAACTTGTTGACGAACCGACGAGAAATAACGCGCTAATTAATTATACTGAATAATTTTGTATTACCCGAGGCAAATAAGTATTGTATTTTTTGCAGGCAGTTATCCTATTAGACTTTACCTCTATATAGAGGCATACATGAGGCCAAAAATATGAGGAGCACCGGTTCGTTCGGAACCCTTACAGGGATTTTCAGCCGAGACGCTTTTGCTTTAGTGGATGAAAGAGCTGCGTTGAATCGAATTAAACCCCATTCCCTTCTTGGGTAGACAAAGACCGGACGTCTCTTTCGGATCGAGACGGTTTCAATTGAATCCAATCGATGAATGTCGTCGTTTCTGAGAGATGTCGGACTTCCTCATCGGCCTTCTGGGCCTGGACCTCATTCTTCGCTGCTTGTGATGCAACACGGGGAAGGCGACCACCTGTCCGCATGAAGCGAGAGGATATTTTCTCCTCTATCTCTCTTTTTTCCCCCTCCCCCCCCCCCCCCCCCCCTCAATGTCCTCCCAGTATTAGGTGACTACAAATTATATTCCCCGATTTCCTTTCTTTCCTCATGAATCTTAGGCAGGTTTTCTACTGGATACTTCTACTGGATTTGTTCATGTAGCAGCTGAATGACGTCTAGCGATGTAAAATATTACTTGCCCCTCATCCTCATCATGATTATCACCGGACGCAAAGTAAATCAAAATCGTGATATTCACGAATTTACTGGCCTTGACAATCGCAAAATCGGTGTACCCAAACAGCACTGAGATATGCAAGGGACGTCCCCAACTAGACGACTCCCCCAAGTATTTCTTGGAACATCTTGAAGACTGCTTTTCAATATCTTCAGGGGGATTGTTTAAGACATTTCTTATGAAATATTGAAACGCTTTCGACTGAAGTTGTCTTCGGGGTCTCGCATGACGCCGAGGGATCCAGTGACGTACCGGCTTTTTTTTTTTTAGGGACCTATCCGCAACCTGTGCACGGAAGAAATGAATTACAGGTGCATAACCCCGATGGGAGATGTCTCTCTCATGCCATGATCTCCAGCCTTCGATTTTTTTCTATTACTTGTATCTACATTGATCTGATATGTACAGAGGAGAAGTAATGATTTTCGTTCCGTGATTTAAGAAAACTGATTCCAAGGATAGAGAATAAAATTGATGTATTCATCTTAATTTATTCCGTTATATTCTCAGTAACGACGCCTCATCGCATGTCTGGGCATAACTATCCTGTTTGAAGATCTGAGCCGAAATATTCATGAAATATTGTGAAAATCATGCTTCAATAAGGCTTTCTTCAACCCCCCCCCCCCTTCTCTAAGGGGCTGAATAATGTTAGGCCTTGACCTAACCCCTTGACCTTCAGGTCAGACCTAGGTGTACCTTATTTCGTTCAAAAGAATCTCAACCCGCGAATTACGGGGCCAGATATGGCCACTGGGCTCTCGAGATGTCTCGCTGAGTGACGTTAAACTGCTTACGAGTCTTTTTCGAGTTTCGCGAACCGTTTCAGCGAGGATTGTTACGTTAGGCCTATTTGAAGTTATTCGAACCTTCTCGACAAATTCTGAGGAGAGAGCATGAAATACCTCGTATAAATATGCCCGGCACCATCGTCAGTAAGGATGTCCATATCGTACCTTATCGAATGGCCACCGCTTCGGTCTCACTTCATGACATGAATTCGGTACAAACGTGTATCAATGTTATACAGTTAAAAAAATAAGTCCGGATAACCATACAAAAGCAGAAATGGTCATGAAACCTACATATTTCCAGCACCGGAGCCAGCCTGCTAGACCTAAATGTATGATAGCTAATTTTTTTTAAATGGCAGAATGGAGCATCGCAAGCAACAAAAGGGGCACTTTTTGGGACCTACTAGTCAATATTTTTTTTTTTTACTGGTTTCTTTCCGAAGAAAGAAACCATTCAGAAAAAGTTGCCCTGGGAAAAGGGAAGGGGAGAAGGGGGGGGGGGGGGGGGAAAAACCGAGATTCAGTGTTTTCCACAAACTTGGAGGATGAAGCATCAAATTTATTGTGCTGAGAAGGTAAGACCTGTGTTGAGGAGGTTAGACCCATGCCCAAATTCGTTCCTGTTGATGCTCTAAGAGAGGAATACGAGGAGATTGAATTTAGTTACGGGAAGAGGTCGAAGAAAGGTATGAGGAGCTACAGCACCTTTTGATTTTAGAAAAATGTGGATCCACACATTTCCTCGATGAAATTGAGGGACTTCAAGCAAAAACGAGCTAAATTTTAGTCCAAGGAGATGTATTTCCTATCTTGGGGGTTTTCAAGTAAAGGTTTTGCCCCTTTACGATTTTTCTCAAATGGTTCAAAAACATAGCACCATAAAATCCTTGTAGGTTAAAGAGAGAATTCTCATAACTTGGAGGGTTTTAGGAGGAAATTAAAACGCTTCGGAACGAAAGGAACATTCTTGGAACGTCCTTGCGCCCTGACTTTTCGATATCCCTGAGGTGCCCCAACAATTAATTCCTGGAACTTCTCACATCTCCATAATGGATATCTCTCGGACATACAGTATTTGGGAAGTACTTAAGCTGTATGGATTATTAGACGAGGGGAAAAGTCAGGAAGTTGTTGAACTTTCCAGGGCCGACGGTTACAAAAGTTCGGAACTTTACAGAGCACGTCCAAATACTTATACCGTTATGAAACTGTCGCCGCAAGATTTTGAAAACAGTTCCTACTCGTCTTGGTTCAAAGTCTGCTATCCTTTGTAGTAGGATTTGTTTTTCATGTGTCCTCGGATCATATATGAAGCTCATCTAAAAAAAAAAGGCCTAACGACTAGGGATTATGTTCGTTGCAGGTGGCCTGCGGCACGAATCCTCTGATGCCACGAAACTAATAGTTCTCCCATGCATTTCTTGTCCCAATGCTTGGCGGGCCGAGAGAAAACGCATTCGTAGTAGAAAAGATGGTCATTTCAGCTCGATCGTCATGTGGGCTTATAGTCTAGGGCATGTAAGGATGGAGGACAGGAAAGCAATTGGGGAAAGAACTTCATTCAAGTCGATTTCCAAAGGGCTCGTTCTTCATTTCGCATGCGACTAATTGATGGTGATGGTGAAGCTCTCAGTGATGGGTTGAGGGCAAGAAAGATCCAGAACAGAAGCAGAAGAATCGTATTCGAAAGTGCAGGATACTCCATTGGAGGACTCGACTGATGACGGTGAACTGGGGTAACCCCAGATCTCGATCCCTTCCAATGGCGTCCCATCCATCAATCCATCCAACGATTTCTCGACCGTGATATCCAGTACATTCTGGATGACGAGAGGAACAGCACTCTGCATATTCTCAATCTCCCTTGAATCACAAGGAGGGAAATCCGTTGAAGCTCACCGTATCAAAGGTGAAGGTGGCATAGAAGTAATCCCCTGTCCCGACGGTGTCGATGGATTCCCCGTCATCCCAGAAGAGGTTTCCTGACGCCTGGCTGCTCTCATCTAGCGCCACTATCAGACCAAATGGATTCTGTCGACTGGGGAAGAAGAAAATTTCAGGAATTTTCGAAATGGAAAACTTGCAGTTAGGAAAAAGCGATGATGCAAAAATTTTGAAGGAGGCTATGATCTGAATGTGAAATGAATTTTCTGGTTATTATATGATAAGATGAGTTATTAACTCAGCAAAATTTCAAACATTGCAAACATTTTCGCGCAAATTTAGACCATTGGGAAGCATGGGAACAAAAAGAGCTTTTGGAACATTGCAAAACAAGACAATGGCAATGAATGCTGAATTTCAACTTCTTGTTCAGTTTGAAACAAGTGGAAATTAAGTTTGAAAATTCCAATTTTGTCCACCAACTTTGACAGCTCCTATTTCTGCCTCGAACAGGATGCAAACTTGGAAATAGTGTCAAAGCTTTCCCCAATTTCTTTCCAATGATTTATACTCACACGGTTGTATTTAATTTCCGAGTCTGTGCGTGTTTCTCACTTTTGAGCTTGTCGAACTTCTCAAATGAAAGATACTATTAAAATGACGAAAAATGAGAATCATGGCGAAACAACCAGGCTTGGGCATATCTCACCTACGACCAATAAATAGCCTTGGTTCTTTTGCATACTGTATCAAGCAATAAAATACAAATATTCAAAATCTTCATAGGTTTCCCATAACATCAATTTAGTTATGTTAGTTACCACAGGATAAAATACTCGCTGCGCTGAGAGGTGCATCGGAAATTGTATTTAATAACGTGGGATCCCTTTACTACTTTGTACTTCAGTAACCTCCCAAAAATGTTGTCTCCTTTGTTTTGTAGAATTGAATCGGCCAAATATGTTCTAAATATGTAATAAATAAGGTACCCCTGGGGATCGGAAATTTGAAACGCTGCCTAGCCTTTGACCATCTCCGGACATATGAGGAAGCCATGCAAAGTTTGGTCGGACTGGGATCAAAGGCGTGGCAGTGCATGAAGGACAGACTCACAAACATTCAGAAATATAATAGTACAGATATTTAGTTATATACCTTTTATCATGGATAAACCAGGTAATACATTTTATTATCATATTTTCCATCGCCTCAGCTTTAATTGTTGTCTAAAAAAATTTTTTTCTGCACAACTAGGACCAAAAATCTAGGACTTCAGCATCGAAGGTCACTTTTCCTCTTGAGGATTGAGTTTGGGACCGCATGTCTCAAGAATATTTACTGCCAGAAGGTCGACATTATTGTCTTCCGTAACTCTTGCAGCCCAGCATGCATGAAAATTTTCAGATAAGTCTAAGTCCGAAGCGCAACGAAAGTTCCTTGAATTTGACCGCATGAGCTGTAATGCCACATTGCTGTTTTTCAAAAGCAACAAAAATGACTCAAGTAAAAACTGCAGCAATGCAGAAACCCGGATACATTCCCATACAGAATCCTCTATTCAAGCAGAATTTCACCGGATGTGACGTGCATGAGGAAAGGAATCGAACATGTTTACTTTATGTATCATAGTTGCAATTTGATTGTTGCAAAACCCCAAGTTCCAGCTATCGATAGTAGATACAGCCTACTGTAGCGTATGATGATGCATATGTAAAGATACCTTTCGTCAGTGTTGATTCCAGAAACTTGCGTGGGAAGAATGGCCCCCCCGCGGACATGGATCGGGATCTCCATGTCAGGGACATTCAAGTTCGTCGTCAACGGCCCCGTGAACTCCACTTCTCTGGACCAGTACTTATACCAAAGGCCTTGAGGGAAGTAGGCACTCCGGGAGTTGAAGGATTCGAGGGTGAGGATAGGGGAGAGGAGGAGATGGGATCCCCACAGGAACTGGGTATCGATGCCTCTTGCCGTGACGTCAGTCGGGAACTCCATCAACAGGGGTCGCACCACTGTGTCACCCACCGTGTTCGCGTGATAGAACAGGGTGTATAGATATGGCAGTACACGATACCTATTGGTAAAAAAAAATCCAGTGTCATAATCACGCAGTCGCTGCATGTCTCCCGCCATGGACCAGAGAGATCGATAGGCAGTCGCCCAGCAGACAACCTTCCATCAGTCATGTCACTGACCTTACTCTACGCGAGCAGCTTTTCATACTCATTTTTGCTACTTTAATGACCTGGCTTGTAAATTTGTTTAACTTAGGCATTTTGTCGCTATTAAATCCAGAGCATTGTGCTCTTCGTATTTGATTGCATAAATGTGCATCCTTTCCAATGATTTTTTGAACGTCGATTTATACATATCCAATATATCCAATAATCCAATATCGTATATCCAATAATATAAATGCATTTTTTCCGCTTTTACTCAGAGGAAACATGTACATGTTTCCTCTAAGTAAAATCAACATTATTATACCCACACGCCATATTGAATGACATCCGATATTTCAATCCAGGCACATAGTTACGTTTTTGAAAAAGCTTCTTTTGGGAAAATTCCAAAATGTCAAAAAAGTACTTTTTAATAGGTGTATATCTGATTTTTTTAAACATAAAGAGATGCTTGATTTACGCATTTTATGTCTGCGAGATGCCTGCAATTTCCTTTTGTAATTTTTTTAATGAAGGAGTTACACTTTCGAAAAAAAATTAAACATCATCATGCACACTCCTTTGTTGGATGGAACCTCAAACTCTGTATTTAATCAGAAAAAAGGAAGGAATGGAAGAACCTGGCGCCAAGGGCAATTCTGCTCGCTTCTGCCACTGTCGGCCACATCCCAGGATCCTGGTCGGCATTTCCAAAAGCGTTGTGATTCCTGGCAAAGGGGTAGAAGGCTCCAAGTTGCATCCATCGGATGCAAAGGGCCTCTGTCGCGTTGTCGAAGAAGCCACAGATGTCCGATCCTCCGTACGGAATGCCGAACATGTTGAACTCGAACATGGCTGTTCGACGGGAATAGGAAGGCTTTTAGCATTTGTGGGGTAATTCGATAACCGACTCAGAGCTGATAAAGTCTGCTAATGTGATCTGATGCATTTCGTAAACGTTGGCATACATTTTCGGATCATATCCGGATTAGAATCATAAAAGGAATTGTACTAGGCATACTTACTATTCACATCATCCAAATAAGTAATTCCATCTTGTGTGTTCGAGTGGCCATAGAGTACCATCTGACAGATTTGATGAAATTTCGCAACATTTGCCTAGTCGAACGGAAAAGAATGGACATAATTTGCGAGGAAATAAAATTTTCGAACGGAAGGGTGCCTAAAGAAAGGGAATTTTGCCCCACTTATATAGAAAATGTCAATTTTCTGTTCATTAAGCAACTGCTGTGCGCTAGGATAGAGGTGTACTGATGTTAATAGTATAAAAAATGCTAAAAAAAATAAAGACACGAGTAAGTTGCTGGAGGGAGGCCTAATCATCCCTCATAGGCCGCCCACTTTTCGCAAAAGTTATCGTTTCTTTCTCTTTGTCTTCATGCTCCATAAGAAAGGCCTTCATCAAGCCAATACTGGAAGAAAGTAGGTCTATTTTCAAATTTTTCATATGGAGGAAAATCTGGACCTTCATAACAAGATGGTCTAAACGTCACAAGTTTATATCGTTGCCGCATTAGAGCTACTTATGAACCACACCATTGTTATAACTATTTTGGCTACTTTGCATGAGAACGTCAAAAAAAGGGAAAGACATTCTACGTAACCTCTGCCCTAAGTAAACACTTGACCTCAGTACTATAAAGTTTCTGTTGAATTGGAGTACGTCTGTACCAATGGGAGACGATGCCTTCTGCATCCGTCTCACGAAATTATCTCTATGGGTTGATTGATGGTTTTTACAGGAGTAAATCTAGACTACTTTGATCTTGGTCAAGCCCTGTTGAAACACCCCTCGTTTACATCTCCATTTAACAACTGAACCTAGATTGTGTTAGTTTCCAAAGTAGAAGTTGAGGACCGAAGGATAAGTCTATGATAAGTGTATGATTTTCAAAATTGGAAAAATAGTTCATGCAAAAATTTCAGAGAGAAACGTCATGTACTGAAACTAGCACATATCAGCCATACATAGCTCCATATATTCCATCTTTAAATTATAAAACGTCACTCGTGCCATACTTCTTTGACCTGAACCTGACTTCCAATAGAATATACTTCCGTTGTCCTTTCGAGCGAATATAAGGCACTCACGTCAAAACTTAACGTCATTGTCTAAAACAGTAACGTACGCTCCATTGAAAGACATTGGGGAAGTCTTGGTCGGTTTCGCCTAGTACGGCTGACCGGGCAAGCATCGATTCGCGAGGGTCATCGCCTTCCCATTCGCAGCAACTGATCGTCCTTTGAGTTTCGCCGATGGTGCTTTAGGTTTTGACTCCAGGTACGTTAGAAGTTGATGGTGGGACGTTTTGCTTTGCCTTTGGAGCGCGGAAATTGAGTCTTGACAGCAGTACATACAGTTTTGGCATGGGAAAGTAAAATTTTGAAAGTAATCATACATCAAGAAGTGATAGTCTATGAGAGCAATGTGCGTTGCCCTAGCCTTGCCTATAGTTGTGAAAAGCTCACGGTTTTATCGATCCCGGCCTTCCAACATAGAGTTTCAACGGTAAGATTGTAACGCATCATGAAATACCGAGGTATTAAGATCGAAAAAAGAAAAATCCACCAATGGGCTCTAGAAGAGTTAACAAACCTTCGTTTGTGTCCTTAAAAAAGCTCCTATGAAAATAAATGTAATGTTGTTTACCTATCATTACATATTCGATCTTTTGGGCCTTACATAAGAGCCTTCAAGTTTACCACACCAACACCGTATTCTGGTGAGAAGTCCACCAATATATTTAAATTGAAAAAAGGTGCATTATCATCATACCGATAATGCTGACCCTTCAACGTTTAAGGCAGAGTGAAGCGGCACTTTTAAACGAGCTTACACGTTCCAACCAATCGGGGTTTCATTCTCGGATCAGGCGTTTTCTTCTTTCTGAGAACACCCGTTCAGAAGATCCATATAACGACGTGATACATGTTATCATACATAACAGTGTATGGACTTCTTATTTAAAACGTATCGAAATATATTTGGAAACAGTTACGTCCACATCCTGTTTTGACCAAACTTTCCATATGAAGTCTCTTGACTTATTCCAGACATTTTGAAAAACATGGTCAAAAAAGTCCACATGCGACTGTAATTGGTAGTTTGGTATACATGCGATTGTAATTGACAGTTCCATGATGGCAGCAAAATTTTTCAATTTGAACTTGATTTGAATTTGATTTGATTCTTCGCGTTTCGGAGCGAAATCATATATTTAAGTTAATGTCCTCTTACGAAGGAAAGAGAGAGTGACATCTTTTATGGTTCCTTAGCATTAGCTGGACATTATTGTGTTAGTTTAAAATTCTATAATTTCACATTTGCTTTACAAAAAAGCGTGATATAAGATTGAAAATTAAGTGCATTGGGCAAAATTCTCTTGCTTAAATGATTTTGAAAAGATATCTACTACTACCCCTACTTAAATATCCATATCATCATTCAAGCTGTATTTTGCTCAATCTGACTATGGACGTATTGTTGGTATAATTTATTTTAATAATCTCTAACTCAGCAAGAAAGTAGAAGGCTAACCGATGATGGAGCGATGAAGATCCACCCATCTCGAGATGTTATCACCGAACCAATGACCGATCCATTGACCCGCAGTGGCGTAGGTAGACCTAGAGAAGACCATGCTTCTCGTCCCCGTCACCTCCCTCACTGCCCTGTGCACACACATGGTACCGTCAGAATTTTGCGGTGAGTGTTGTCGGGAAAGTGTGATCTATTAGCGCTGGATTTTATCAAAGATGGTTTGCGCCATATATAGGGATGACATTCTCCATTCGATGAGGCAAAGGAAGATGTGTGATTGAAATTAGTTTTGCATCAAATTCCTGGATTTGTACCCATAAAATCAACATGAAAAACTTGCATAGATACCCAGGATCCATTCAGGCATAAACTTAGACCCATAATGGTAACCAAAGGCAATCGGTACGGAATCTAATTTTTACTACTGTAACCGCGACGAAGTTAAGAGGAGGCTTTCCCTCCCAAGCTTATATTTCAAGTTCAAATTTTAAGCCGAAGCAAATTATGGCCAGGAATTACTTTGGGGCTGAAAGGGTCAATATCAGCATTCACTCATAGTTACGAAGAGTCTCTCATGGTCCTTGTCCACCATGTTTAGCACCAACTCTACCATTCGTTTGGAAACAGATATGACCATGAATATTACACGTACAAGAGTGTTGGGAGTCCTTGGCTCCAACCATAGAGGGAGTGTGTGTCGTATGTGAGGTATTCCTTCACGTCGCTTGGATTTGTATCGTCGATCTGCTTCCCAGTCATGCAGATGGTCTTGTCCTACGAGGGCAAGATGCGTTTCTAGTGAATGAGGAAAAGAAGATGATCTTATTTTCAGAACAACGGCGACTCACCGCGAAGGTACCACTTTTGTTTTCTCCGGCGTAAATCGTCTTGGTCTTGTATGGCGGTTCGTCCCATCTCCTATCCCTGCATTTTAGGCTCCAGGGGGGAACTCCCTCCGGCCAATTATGCGGCTTCTCTTCGTTCGTCCCGAAATTGGACGGTTCGTTCATGTCGATCCAGAGAGCAGCGAACTCGATTTCCTCGTGGAAGCGCCTGATCTCGTCTTTCCACCATTCTTTGGTAGAAGACTTGAAGAAGTCGGGGAAGACGGTTTTAGCCGGCGGCCAGACGTATCCGACCATGTATTCCCCGGCGTGCGACTCTTGATCGCTGGGGATGTAGGATTCGTTGTACCATTTGATGAACGCGTCTGCTTGCTGTCCTCTCAACGCCGGGGGGTAGTTATTCGTGAAGTCAAATACTATGGCAGGATCCTGTATGTGTAACATATAATGATGAGGAGCCATCCATGAAAACGAAACTCTCTTGCTGGAAAGAGGTGCTGACCAAGATGATGACGAAACGGATTCCCTGACTCTTCAACTCTCGGACGTACTCCGGGAATCCGGCCCACTTGACTGGGTCCCACGTGAAGATCATCCTTTCGATCATGTAGTCAATGTCCGCGTACACGATGTCCTTTATTAAAATGAACGCAAAATCATTTATGAATCATTAAGCAATGATTCGAAGAGACAAAGATAATACGATGTAGGGGTCTGGGTTTTGGGAGTTTACCAAATATTCCAATCTCTAAACTGGTATAACGGAATGGTGCAACTATACTTAAAGTGCCTGTCTTCGATAATATAACCTTGAATAGAATGTGAATAAATGCACTGCCCAGGAATAATGTCGATATCAATTCAATTTGGTGGATAGAAACGGGGCTAAAATTCATTTCTGACAAGGGAATGAAAGAGACTTTATTATCGGTATTGTATTTGTTTCAGAATTTCCCAGTTTGACACCTTCTCAAAAATTTGCACAGGCCATCGCAATCGCGTGAAATGATGGCAACGACTTGGTTTAATTGAGTTTTTAACTTTTGCACTTGCACTGTCAGCGACCTGGCGCCCTCAACAGAGGGGAAAGGGGCTCATGGGGGCCGAGTGCGGTGTGGGGGAGACCCCCATGGCCTTCATGACCTCCTCGACTCCCCCCCCCCCGTCGCCTTCCCATCCCCACCGCACAGACAGAGAGAGAAGAGATGCTTACTAAGGGGATGTTGGCGTTTTGGGTCCTCTCCACGGCAGCTTTCAGGTCATCCAGCGTTTCGAAACCCCACCGACTGAGTTGGAATCCCAGAGACCAGTAAGGTGGCAGGAACGGTCGACCGATTAGCTGCATATTCAACACGAATAAATTGTTACCTGGAGTTAACTCAGTGGTGTGTCTCCGTCATCATCGGTATCTCAAGAATGTGAGAACCAAAATCTTTGCCGTTTTGTTGCACTCGCACTTACTGACGTAAGGTAGGCTATTCATTAGCTCTTAATTGTCGCAGCTGACCTAATCATTTTCTAACATTCTTGCATCGTTGTAATGGATTATGTCGCGTCTTTTTAGTCCAAAAATTTGACATACCAATTTTCTTACATCTCAATCATTCAGAAAGGGAGAGAATGAGAGATCGAGAAAAGATGACGAAATACCACTCCCAGCACGGAGACATCATTCCTCCGTCTGTTCAAGACCAATCTGCAAATACTCAACTATTTTCTACAGGAAAAGGCTTGCACAGGGCAACGTGGTACAATTGAAGCATTACTTAATGTTAATTAGGATCTCATTGAGGCTTCAGGGTGAAAAAGTGAAGAATGCTGACTTGAGTGTATTGTCGACTGACGTCAGCCGGGGAGGGACCGAGGAAAAGGTGGAAGTCGAGAATGCCCCCGATGGATCTAAGGGTCAAAATCGGGTCTCCATTCAGCCTCTGCGTCTCGTATTCCATCGCGTTGCTGTTGAGGAAGAAAACGCCGTGGGTGTTGCTGGAGTTATCTTCCATCACCTCGTAGAATGGATGGACGCCATATACATTCTTGTCCCCCTGCAAAAAGGTCAAAATGTCAAATGACATGTGGTGTCCCCAATACCTGTCCAAATGCCATTAAATGCAATTAAGTGTCGTTCTGTTGCATTTCATTTCTCGATGAGGTTAAATTGCTTTTGTAGTAAATCCAAAAGAACGCAGCTTTAACTTCTAAAATTACTTCCCAATTGTAAGTTTAAAATTACTGACGGTTCTCAAAGAACAGAGCAGAAAAGGAAGCAAGATCATTTAACGACACTCAATCAAACTAAGGACTTGCATCATTCGGGAATTCATCTCTGGTGAAGAGGGGAAAGGTCCTCCGAGAAGAGAAATCATGACGGAATGCCGTGTGAACGTTCTCCCCAAATCCATAAAGATTTTCAGAAGGGAGTTCGGTGATGATCTGAAGGAATTGGTCCTCGTAAATCAACCCACCTGGCGAAGTGTCGAAGCTAGAAACAAAATGCTTCAGGGTCACAGGTTGGTAATAACAGCACGGTACGACCTAATACGACCAAATGAAAAGCTCCTGAAATGTTTTTAAGCAAAATTTCATTGATAGTTGTACTGAAAAAACCTACCCTCCGTTGACTTTTGTGACCTTTAGCAACGATATGTTTCAAAACTATGAGGTTTTCCTCTTAAGTCGTTGAATTTGTGCACTCACACGACGGTACCGGTGTCCTGCCTTCGGATGGAAAAGTGGAATGGACTCCCGATGGAGTCATCTCCCATGTCCACTGCGTAAGTCGGATCGAAGCCAGTTTGGATATCGTGATTCAGAGGGACTGGCACCTCGTAGCGATCTCTGTCTGCGTCCCGGAGCTATTCAGTCAAGAATGAAGCTCAAAAAATACATTTCAAAAGGTTCCATTTTAAGGGTGTTTTATGGGGAAAAACGTGAGAAATGTAAAATTTGCATCATGAAAGCAACTTTTTTTACCACAAGGAAAATATTGATAAGCAGATAGAAATGGAACCATGAGTTGAAGAGATGAAGTAATAAAGCAATGAAAGCTGTATTGCAGATATCAAATTGGTCGTGCTACTCAAGCCTCATATTTCTCATTTTTATCAGTTCTTTTAATGAGTTCTCTATCTCTTTTGTGGCTTTTCCTTAACCCTGCACACTATACTGCATGCGTGCATGTGCATGCATGTATGGGCATGCATACATAAACGGTGCACAAAGAGCAGAAATTGTATTTAACCTTGGAACTACTTGCTTGACATTGTAACGCGATTGTATCCTGCATCCAATTTACACAAGGCAAAAGCTTGTAAAATAAAGACAATGGTAAAATATGCAGAATCGCATTTTGTTTGTTACAGTTGAAAGTTTGACAAATACCAAAAAAAGATTATGATGCAGCCAACACAAATGGTTAATATTTTTTATCAGGTAGTTAGGGTAAAACCTCAGTGTGACCCACACCTCCTCTTTAATGTAAGAAAAATTACATCTTCCATACTTTTACTGGTGCACACGGGTTGAGATGCAGTTTAAATCCATTACTCGATCGATTGATGGTCTTGTTGAATTATACTTGAACAATATTTGAGTGGATTTCACAATACTTGTAATTTACACTAATGACGTTTCAACTTTCCAAATTTTCGAAAATTCGAACTGTGTACTCAAGTGCATTTCTCCGTAACATACTTCGGAGCGAATTGCATTTTCAAAACTCCAAGATGAGAAAGCGAAAATAAGAGTGGTTGAATGTCCTGACCGTGAAACGTAGATGCCGATCGTCGTAGTAAGTGACTTGGAAGATGAGATTTTGGATGTCGCTGCCGTATGCCGTGAAATCGTTGGCCCTCGTGAGTCTGTATTGGAAGCCGTTCTCCGTGTCCGTCCGGCCGCTGTCGAACACGTAGCCGTAGTCAGAGGGAGGCTTCAGGTCACAGGCGGCTCCGTTCCATTCGCAGACCGTCATGCTGTTGCATTCCCTCTCTGGGGGAATTTGTTTAAAAGTCATTATCAAAGTATAAAGAAATGTCTCGACAGACTGCGATAGGGAAAAATTGTTATTGCTCTAAAAAGAAAGTATTTGAATTCAATGTAGGTTTGCTTTAAAAGTAAATATAAAACGTCAAATAAAACTCTTGTTTTATGAAACCAAACAATTTTCGCATAAACTCTACACAGCTCTTCACAGATCTGTGGAGATTTTATGCAATTTCGATGGATCCATCTTATAAGATTTTTTTTTCCTTTGCAAACATTTAAAAGTACTTCTCTAATTGAGAGCATTGAATATCGATAAGTTTCAATATCATAAATTTGTTCAAAATCAGACCTAGGTCAAGCTTGCAGACTACTTGTCGCTGCAAGTCGCAGAAGTTATCGAGCCATTTCCCATGCGAACTGGGATTGTCGGTCCAGTGCATCATCTCCGTGCACATTTCCTCGGGTGAATTCGGCTCTCCCTCGTTCCAGTTGGTGAAATCGACCGGGGAGCCATCGCTCCATTCGAAGGTGCTGCCTCCCGACGCCAGTGAGTTCAGGCCGATCCAGCTGTCGTCGAAGAACCTGTCTGAAGAGGGGCAAAGGGGACCAATGTAGACGCAATTTTGCGTCTTTGACAGTACAGGTGACTCTCGTTATACGTGAGGGTTGGGTTCCCGAGAATCGCCGCGTGTATCGAAAACGCGTAAAACATGTAACATGGCTTGTAACATGGCTTCCACGGTGCCTGCGGATAGGGATAGTGATAGTCTCCATGCACCGAAATGAAACCGCGGATTGCGAAAACGCGGATGACGAGTCACCTGTACTTTTGCCTGAGGCATACAATTTACATGTGGATTTACACTGCGAGATCGCGAATGGGCTGCACTCGACTATCTCGGAATTGTATTAATTATTTTATTAATTGCAGAATTGTATTGATACGGTAGGATTATGGTGAGATTAGCAAATCGCCAAAATCGTTGATCTCTGCGGCAAAAAAATGGGCTTAGATACATGGGTTTCAATTTGGCACTGGGGCAAATGGCCTGAACCGCTTGACAATTTTCTTTATTATTTACTTGAATGATACAGCCATTTATTTGTAAATACGAATCACCTTTCCAGTTTGAAAGCGGAAGCATTATGTGGGATTCATAACACCAAATATCACTTCATATATTGGTTCATAGACACAGATTCGCCCTTCTCCTCCCCTCCCTCTCCTATCCTCCTCTTTCCTCGCCATCCTTCCCATTCCCATTCCTCCCCTTCCCTCCCCTCCCCTCCCCTCCCATCCCATCCCATCTTGCCATATTCTCCCCCCCCCCTTCCCCAATTGGATACAAGTGTCACCGAGAATCGTTGGAGTGTTATACTGTACATATGTAAAGTGGTATGCATATGTTTCTTTGAAATAACGAAAAAAAACTAATTGAATATTTTACAAAAAGCAGGGACAAATATTAGCATAATTTATTGCGCACTTAATTTTGTGGCATTAATTAACCAATTATTCAGAACAAAAAAAATGTTAGTAGGCCTATCTGGGGGGCGGGGGCCATTTTTTGCCTCAGTGACAAAGTTTTTTTCTCGCCCGATTTTGAAATATAGAGCGGTAATACTTCTTATCGCGGACAAGAGAAATTCAAGAAAACACACTGAGACGACCTTACTTTTAAAAAACCCTACCCTTGTGGTATTGTTAATTCTGTGATCAATTCTCATTCAGCCGGAAACTAGGGTGCAGAGAGCACTGCTACACAGAATGCGCATGCCATAAGCAGATTTCCTCCTTACTTCTGGTGTGTCCAAAAATCTTTGTGTTCGAACTTCATTTTTTCGTTTCTAAGTTCGGAGACCAACATAACAGGAACTATCGGAAGCTGTAAGGCTTCGAAGAACATCAATTATCACATTCATACATAATTTGTGCTCTCAGATGAAAAAATATAATTCTGGCTTGTGTCATTAAGGCATGATGAGAGAATTAAAATGCTGTCCCGACTTAAAACTGTCCGAACATTGGTGGTTTTACTCTAAGAATGGATCAAGTATTCACTCATCACGGTGTTGAGTTCTGCAGCGGAGTTGATGCTCAAGAGATGTCCTCCCCTCTGCCGGCAAAGATCTTCTCCATCGGTCCAGTTCTTCAATTCCGGCGGGTACCAGTAGCAGACGTTCCCAACTCTTTCCCAATCATCTGGGCACAGTGCGGCTGGAAAAAATAGGAAGCAGGTGATAGAAATAGAACCATTATCATTCTAAGCCTCGGCTGCTGGAAACTTCGAAAGGATTCACGCTACGATTGGTAAAGAGGCAGTCGAGTGATCTTCCATGGAAATCGAGGTATGAGTTAGGCATCTCCATGAACTTCTACGGCGTAAAACTAATCATATCTTGATGTTCCAGAATGACATTTAACATTCATATTATATTCTTACAAAGGATGATTTTGTAGTCGCATATCACAAACACAAGAATTCGTGATGTTCTATGATAATTCATTGTTTCAAATTCAAATCGGAACTCCTTAATCATCAGGCAGTCTCAGGAAAATATTTTAAAAAGAAACTACGCCTGTGGACTCACTGGGTCTGCCGTAAGCTGGCGGGATCGGACACGGGAGCTGGGCCAAAGCACTCGATGCGAAAAGACCGAGAAGGACCGCGAGATGCATGGTGAGTGCACGGGTGTTCCTTCCCCGACTGGGACTCCGCGGAGTCCAGCGTCATCCTTTTATCTGCTTCGCGTCTCGTTCCCAGGCACAGGTGTTTGGGGGAACTGTGGGATAAATACGGACAAGAACCAAGTGAGGCTCGTGGCTTGCGAAATTTCTATCTGCTTTCGTATCCGTGACTTTGGGGAAACGTGACTCCAGAGTCATCTGGAACTCATCGCTACAGATCTGCGATGAGTCGTGAACTCTGAAATGTAAAGAGTCAGCAGACCAAGGTCTCCTCTGACGATTCCGATCGAGAAAACGCTTGTCAGACTGCTAAATGCGCAGAAACATCTCATTAAAGATCTTACGGTCGCCGTCTCGAGATAGGGCAGGACGTTTCTCTCGGTTCGAGATGCTTTAATTGAATCCAATCGATGGATGTCGTCATTTCTGAAAGATGTCGGCCTTCCTTGTTGGCTTTCTGGGGCAGGACCGAATGTAACACTGCTGGTGACGTAACACGGGGAAGGCGACCACCTGTGTGCATGAGGCGAGCGGCTATTTTCTCCTCTATCTCTTTTTTTCCCCCTCAATGTCCTCCCAGTCCTTGACGGTTGCGACTTCTATTCCCGGCTTTCTTCTCTTTCCACTACACGAGAAACGTTCGCATCGTCGAAAAATCCAAAGAAATACTGAAATGTAAAAATCATAAAGTTCTTTCCTGTTGAAGTGAATGGAACGATGAAAAGCTGAACATCCTCTGTGGGTCCCGATTAAAACATGAAATCGTGAACCTTCAGGAAAGCAATCCTATTCTCGGAACCGTGGCTCTCTACAACATGCTTTCGCGTCGGCCACGTTCCACTTTTTTTTCTTCCTTTTTGCCGGTGGATGACCATTCTCTCGTCTTGCCACACGAACGTCGGTTTTGGTTCCTTCCCTCCGGATGAAGAACACGAAGATCCAAAATGTCGGGATGCAACAGATGCCAGGCGGCGATGCCACGCTTTGTTCGCCGTGCGGGACCGATCCCGAAACACTCGGACCCGCCGGTCCTGGAGTCGAGGCCTGCCTCGAGGTCGCCTGCCGTCTGCATGACGCTCTCCGAAATGTCCCGTCATATCAGCGGCATCTTCGGGGGGGGGGGGGGTGAAATCGGGCGAGTTCTTGACTCGTGCATCCTGCACGGACACAAACTCTAACGCTGATGATAATGGAGAAATCCACATCACTGACATACTGTTGTCTCAATCCAAGGTCTTGGACCTTCCTCCAGATCGACTGGGATTGATAATTAAAAAAAAAATTTGTTGCGCAAGGCATCGAAGTGCTTCCTGAACGCGCCAATTCATTCCTCTCTCCAGATCCGAAAAGCTCAGCAAGGATAAAGTCAACCTGCTTGTCTGTATCTTATCCATCAGGGATTTAGGGAGACTCGTGTAGATAGCCGAGGACTTCCCATGCTATAGGACTATAGGCGAATGGGCACAGACTTCCCTGTACAGGGGCAAGAATCGTATGAAGCTGTTGGAAGCACTCACGTTGGACTCGAGGGGAACGATTGAATGTGCCGATTGAATGTACTGTCTCCTGCCCGCCATTCCGCTCGGGCCAGTCGCGCAAGATTCTGACCAATAGCAAAAAAAAAGAAAACCATCTTGCGCTCTTCTAAGTTAGAGTAGATCAGGAGCCAATTCTCCCCGTCCAATAAACACCTTTCAGGTCAAAATAGCGATTGGCCATTTCTGTGTTTTCGAATGCAGAGTGCACACTGGATAGGGTATGTGAGACAAATTCCGACTCTGCTATGAAGTCCGTCCCCCGTGTTACGTAATTCAACGAACAATAAATCCAAACAGCCTTTTTCAACAAAATTACACCGACGCCCGGTCTCAAAACACGAATAGACAGGGTGTGCATTTTCCTGTCGTATGGTATTTAAAGCCTACGACTCTAAATTTCGAAGCGCATTCGAGGGGACGGATTTTAAGCTTAAGGGGTTCGGGAATCTGCCTCTGCGAAAAACGGTTCGAAAAAGGCATCAGGAAATTTGAATAAAACTTGCTCTACTGCATTGTTCTTTGGTCTCTCCCTCGATTTCTCTCGTATCTCTGAATCATCTCCCCATTTGGATGGGCCATGGCCATTGTGAACTCTAGGGAACTTACGGAATGTGTTGCGATTCACGATGAGAGCTCTAAAATGGCGATCACGATCCCTGCACCTTCAAGGATTCGCAATGCACCTAGTATCAATACGCTTTTTTTTACGCCTATTACCTTTCTTCGACCCCTTCCAGTAACCAAATTCAAACTTCTCATATTCCTCTCTGAAAGCATCAACAGAAACGAAATTGGGCATGTTTCTTTCTCTCTGAACACAGAATCACTCCAGCTAATTTGAAGTTCAATCTCCCAGGGGTTGTGGAGAACACTGAATCTCGCTTTTTGGAGATGTGAATCTCATTCCTTTTTTTTTTCTCCCTGCCCCCCCTCCACCCCCTCCACCCCCTCCACCCCCTCCACCCCCTCCTTCCCCTCCACCCCCCCGCCCCCCG